GATAAGCTGGAGGGGAAGAAAGAATTGACAAGTAGAGAAATGACAGAGAAAGAGGAACAGCCACGCTGATTTCATTTCTTACAAAACAAAACTCTTTGTGTGTTGTAGAAATGTGCTTTAGTTAACACCACCAGATAGCCAGAGCAAAAACTGTAGGTGCTGCCTGAAACGAAAATTGCTCTATTGTGCTTAGAAAACCATTTCCTACGGTGAGGAGAATGATTTCCAGGTAGTAAAAAGCATATCTGAAACCACCAGGGCCTTATCCTGCAACTGTTGCTTGCGCAAATAATCCCCACTGCCATGAGAAGGCCATACGAAATCAGTGTGAGTGAGGATTACAAGGGAGTGTATCAAGGTTGGGGGATTAGACCCAGATTATCACTAAAACCAGTAATTCCCCATCTTACTGATGGTGGCCACCAGCTCGGGATGCAGTGGCTTGCCATGGCCATGATCCCCAGTTAGGGGCCAGGGCAGGGTCTGGGAGCTGCCAGGCATACAGGTCCCTGGAGGACTTGAGTCTTGCTAGATCGGTGGCTGCTCCACCTTGACCTTCTCCTGTATGAGCTACGAGAGCAGCACTGAAGGAAAGTCATGCCTGATTCCCACCCTGCTCAGGGTGTAATGGCAGTGCTGCTGCTTCCCTTCTGCTGCCTTGACAGAGCCACCCTAGACCTCCTAGAGACAGTCAGTTCATACCAATTCCGCCTTTGGCTGTCCAACCTCTCCAGCAAGGCTCACCCACTCCCATTTCACACCTCCTTGCCTGTCCCATGCCAGGGACCACCCACCACTGTGGCCCCAAGCAACACCAAGGGGCAGAACAAACTGCTGTGCCCCAGGGGATGCTCCCCATTCTGGGGCAGCACATGATGCTTCAGCATGGTTTCACAAAGTGGTGCAGATTTTGGATGTAAAACTGTCTCTGAAACACAGACGCAGCCATGACATGCACGTTGTTTTCTCTTAAAACCACAGAGTCAAAACCCAGGCATGTGTTACCCAAGGATGGCTGCTCTACATGCAAGTCGTGTCCCAGGAATCCTAAAAGCCTCAGCACGCAGACCAGTTTCCACACCATCCCAGTGGAACCTGCATTTTTATCAAGGAAGCTGCCTAATGGCTCCTATCAATTTTGATTTTTAATCTCCTGCTACAGCTTCCAGTAATACACATGCAAAACCTGACAACAAGCCCTTTTGGTTTCAAAGCTGACTTCTCCTCTGGCTCAGCAGGAAAGCCTTCAGCAGTAGCAAAGCCTCTGACCAGCAATGCCCTCAGAGCTCCAACATGTCCCACTCTCCCTCCTGCAAAACAAGTCCAAATGCTAACGGGGGCCAAGCCTCCTGCTGTCAGCCACAATCACCAGAGCTGCCCATAAATGCTTTTTGCCATGTCAGCCTACAGACACAAGGATGCTAAAAGCCACAGGCAGGGATCTCTAGGCAGTACCACAGCCCCCAAAGGACCTACAAACCCCAGAGGGGCCAGAGCCCCCCCAGGACATCCCACACTGCCTCCCAATGCTCTCTTGGCAGCCGTGCCCAGGCACAAGCAGAGACAGCAGCCGAGCCTGGCCCCCACCCAAAGGGAAAAGCTTTTCAAGGGTCATCTCAAACTTTATTTGCATCCTCAGTGCAGGGTTGCAACCCCCGCAGATGCCACAGCTTAATCCTTTCTGGATCAGCGGGGAAAGGTGGGGGCACCAACAAACCCAATTACCACCAGCACGGCACAGCAGGCCAGCCCCAAGACCTGCCACCACAGGCAGCACTGCCACAGCATGGGAGGAAACATGCCCTGAAGCTCCACAGAGACATCCCTGGGGACATTTATTTAAGGTTCCTGACTGTTGAAGTGAATGAGCCCCACATTAAAGACCAGCTACACTGCAAACCCACCACGCTAGGACAGCGTGTATCTGCAGCAGCAGCCACCTACTCCCAGCCACAACCATCATATGCTAAGTGACACCGCCAGCGACACGTTTACCTCCTTATTTTATCTTTTATCAACTGATGCCTTGCGTTCCCATCAGGAAAAGTCACTCCTAGGTAGAGAAGCAGCAATATCTCCCCGATGCTGACACCTCATAAATGCTCCCGGGGGAAATGCCATCGGACTCGTCACTGGAAGTGATTCAAACCAGCCCAGACAAAGTCCCGCTGGATGCACTGCAGGGAATGGATTGGCTCTGAAAACTCTGGGCAGGAGCTGTTATTTATTAAACCATCATCATCACCTGGAGGTGTACCAATAGCACACTTCATACGCATGTCATCACACCGTGACACCTCCTACAGCAGTGATGGGCTACAGTGGGTGCAAGGCTGAGATGCTCCTCTGTGGAAGCATTTTTTCAAGAGCTGCCATGTCACCCTATGTGCCAGGACACAGACTGTCACTGTAGTCACCTCTGAACCTCCTCATCCTCAGGGCTCACTTGGATTTTTAGGAGCTATCAGAACCCACACACTAGTGAGGTAACTTCCTCTGCAAGAGCTGGAGGCATAACACCGGGACTCTGCCAAAAGCCATTAAAGCTCCCACCATATACCAAACTTCCAAGCAGCTGGGATTTCTCCTACCCATGTCCTGGTCCCACCCTTTTGTCCAAAAGCATCCCCAGGAAGCGAGCAGATCCCCACCAGGCCATGCTGCTCTCTTTGAGAGCAGCCAGCCATGAGCTGCTGGTCCCTCAGCAGGCCTGGTGAGCCACGAGCTGCTCTCCTGCTGGAGGGCATGCTTTGAGCTGACACTCCACAGCACTCATTACAAGAGGCAAATTTATTTCTCCAAGCAGAGGTACCAGCTCTTTGCAGTGCATCCCACCTGCAAGAGTGATGGGGAAACAGGGAGAGCTGGAACCACAGGGAGAAGCCACAAGTGCCCCAGCTCCTTCATCCAAGGGTGCATAAGCAAGTTGGGGTCTTTGGAGAGCCCATGTTACCAGACCCGAGCTAACCACTGTGTCTAGGAGGAACATGGGCAGCACTGCCTTCTGCCTGCAGCTGCCTGCTAACCTTATCAGCTGAGCTATGATGCTCCCAATGGTCCTTCCCTCCTCCCTGGCACCACAGACCTCCCGCTGCCAGAGTGCACTGCTGCCTAATGCCGACACTGTGACAGATTTTATGATTGAATTTTGTCTGTGGCAGTGAATCACAGGCTGACAGGGTGCTCGTTACAAAGCACCAGCCAGAGACATGCTCAAGACCCCTCTCCAAAGGACACTGCTTCAGAAAGGCAGGAATTCCTCAGGGACTGCTGCCTCCAGCATCCCAACAGCAATGGTCACCCACAACCTTGGGATGTGCCCCCCAGGCACCCTAAGCCCCAGCTGGTACTCAGCAAAGAGGACAGGCAAATCCGAGCATCCAGGGGCATCCCCCAACACATGATGGGTGATGTTTCCCACCCCTGGCCTGCCCAGGCACAGCGCAAGGAACAAGTAGCTTTGGTAGCAGCTCTTCTGCTTAGAGCCAGGCTTAGCCCGAACTGCTCTGACCCAGACTCGGATGCAAAGTCCCTTTCTCTCCCCATTGGGGAATTTGGTAGGGGCTGAGCCCGCTCAGCTCTATGGCTGGACAGATGCAAGCAGAATATATGAGTGCTTATATCCAAGTCATTTCCATTCAGTTATTGCTAAGAAACTCTATTACAGCTTTTATGCCAATACCAGAATATAAATTGAGCTTTAACTTTCCAGACCAGCACTGGGTCTCTCTTCCCACTTTACCCTCTCAAAGGCATGTGGGCTCCTGGCCCTGCAGCCCAGGAGCCAGCACTGGGCTCTACTGGTTCACCCTTGCAGGAGTTGCCTCCTCGCAGCATCTCAGAGGGTTACCTTGAGAAGGCAACACCACAGGGTGAGAAGCCTGCACACCAAGGGCAGGAGAGGCTGGAAATGCAGGCTGGGCAGAAGGCCAAGTGCCCACAATCTGTCATGGAGATCCTGACAACCCACTTCAGTCATTAAAAGCTGTGTCTCTGCTTTGAGCTATTGGCATTTGAGCTGGGAACACCCCAAAAACTGGGCCAACGTCAGTCCATGACCCCTCGGGAGCTGGCTCTGTAGCCTTAGCAGAGGTTAAACACCAGAGTTAAAGGAGCGTTTTGCCAGCACAAGTGCTGCAGGATCAGGCCTGCCAGCAACAGCAGCCCTTCAGACTCTCACAGAGGGCCAGGCTCTGCTCTCCACAGCACAAGGATAAATCTACAGCAGCTCCACTGTCTCCAGCAGCAGTATTTTGCATTTACACCAGCATATTGAATGCAAAACAGAGCAAGCCATAAATATTTTAGCTGCTTTTTCAGCTTTGTTACTCTGTTCAAAGCAGGAAACATGACAAACCTTTGATTGTTTTGCTTAATACCAAACAATAATTCAAAGAGAGACAAACAAGCGACATTAAATGATGCCTGTGATGTGCAGGAAAGCCGATGAATTAAAAGAAGCTGATGAGGATGGGGTGGGTCGGAGCAGTCCCTTCCCCTCTCATGGGAGTCAGCACATGCTCATCCTACCCAGCAAGGGGACAGTCCTGGCCAGGAGTGCAGGCAGTCACACCAGGGCACCCCACGCTGCTGGAGCACCCAGCACAACCCCCTGCCTCCAGGGCAAGAGCCACCAACACCACTTGCAACCACCTTTTAAAAAACTCCTGCACAGGCAACAAGTGTCTCCTCCGTTGAGCATCACCACACTCAAAACCCACTTTGCAAAGCCACCACCTCCAGCCCTCCAGCAGCAGGGAGGCAGCCTGGCTGGGCCCAGCCATGCCGGCATTCCCACCCGGCCATTTCTGAAGATCTTTTTTTTGGGGGGGAAAACACCCACTCACAACCAGGTGTTCCCCAGAACCCACAAGCTGAATGCCTGTCATTGCTCCCTGCCCGTCCTCCATCACTCCCGTGCTCCGGGATGTCCAACACAGGAAGCCACCACGGGCCTTTTTGCTCAAGGTGTGGCCTTGGGCAGAGCCACCGGCACTCACCTCTGGCAGCGGCATCCCGTTGATGATGAGGTCGGGCTGCTGGGGGCTCTGCCCCGTGAAGGTGTGATGGTAAATGTGGTTGGAGCCGGCGTTCCTGTTGTTCTGGCTCTCCACGTTGAGGAAGGTGCTCTCGGAGCGGCGGCAGCCCAGCGGCAGGGTCTGCTGGTGGTAGTCGAAGTAGTTGAGGGATGAGGTGAGGGAGGAGCAGCTCACAACGTTCATTTTATCCGTCTCTTCGACATCCCGCGGTACCAGGCGGATGTCGTTCTTGCTGATCTTCTTCTTCTTGCTTGATTTCTTTTGATGCCCGTAGGAGTATTCTGCGATCCTGGGGGACAGAATGAAAATGAGTAGCTGGGAGCATCCCAAACCCTGCCCCGCCAAACACACATGCAGACACCCAGAGGGCTTGGCCCCCGTCTCCATGTAGGCTTCTTAGTCATGCACATGACGTCATGTTTTGGGTCTGGTGGCACGACACAGTCACTAGCTTATTTTCATATGTATAATGCTCGCAGGTCAAATAAGAAAAATAATGGCAAGGAAGAAAGCCTCTGGTTTTTTTCCTAGTGTTTGTAATTGCTGATATTTACTTATAAGGAGTAAAGTCCAGCCTGCAGAAGAGAAAAATTGAGATGTTAAAAATCCATGGACTGAAAAGGGTACCTGCATTCATTTCCATGCATAATAAGGATTTTAAAAGTGATTTAATTTGGTCCTCATAATGAAAATTCAAAATGAGTAGCAGATTTTTTTCCCAGTTCATTTTCCATAGCAGTAAATAAAGCAGACCCAGAAGCAGTCCTAGCTGGCAGGCTCTACTCTCTCACACTCCAAAGGCTGTTTGTTTATTAATGCGTTCTCCAAATTGCTGGTGTTTTGACTATCTCCTGATAATACCTGATAACTTGAAATCTCTCCTCCAACCGCAACCTATTCCTCCCTCACCCCCTGACATGAACACCCCCTTCTGCTGGGAAATGCTTTTCCTTCTAGAAATCAGAGAACAACAACTGTGTTTTGCAAGGAGAAATGATCCTTTTTGACCTTTTTTTTTTTTTTTACTCCAAGCTTGTTTTTCTCTGCCTTTCTTTTCCTCTTTGCTTCCCACCTGCCAAAAGAATCAACTGATGAAGTGCCTTGTTTGCCTTCTGTAAAACACCAGAGGAAAGAAAAGTTACCACAAAACATCCCCTGAGCAGATAACAACAAATAGGACTGCACCTTTGCATGAACTGGGTATGCTTGGCTCAGAGTGACTGTGCCTCCTCTCCCATAGGGAGCAACACAGCCCCAGCCAATGCCCCACAGATGAACTGGCACACACACAGCACTGCCCAGCTCAGTATTTCCCAGGGAAGCACATCACATGCTGAACCACAGTCAGAAACACACATTTGAATGTCAAGACTTTGCTCTTCTATTTGTTATGATACCAGCATTTTTTAACAACAAAAAAAAAGTAAAATCCAATAGCTGCAATAGAAACAATGGGCTGAATTAATAATGCAGTTTATCTAGAAAGGCAAATATTGGACAAATACTCTTGTTCCAGAAAGCTAATTGCCTGCACATGAAAATGCCACCAGTCGAACAGCTCTCATAGAGCCTGTTATGTGCCTCATAAATTAACACGTTTTATGAAGACTCTCCAGCAGCTGCCGTGAAGAAACCTCTAAAATAAGGCTCTGCAAAGCCCAAAGGTACCCACCAGGCACGGGGAGAGGCTGCCCCATGGTCAGGGCTGCTGCTGAGCCTACCTGGTGCTCCTCTACCTCTGCAGCTGACTTCTGCTCAGATGCACATTGACAACAGCCCGTGCATCCCCCTGAGCGTGCACATAAATCAGGGGAAGGCAGGGATTTCTGTTGTGCCAACAATCTATATGCTGCTGACTCGTCTAACAATGCTTGATGAAGCCTTAATTGTTTTGTTTACCTCAATGTTTAAGTTTGGCAATGCGAGAGCCCAATTATGTCCTGCAGGCATTCATTTTGCTGTCCTTCCTCTATTGACCAATTATTTAATTAAACTGCACATCATTAATCCCTAAGCCATCACACTAAACCCAGGGCTTATACATATGTGTGGAGCTGTTAGGGGCACCACCACAATGCGATTTTTATCCATTCAGGTCCTATTCTCATTTAATGGGCCGAGCTGGCAAGAAATCTGCTCTCCGAGCTTTCACTTGCAGCGAGACATCCCATAATACAGCACAGACCGACCTTTATTTGCAGACGATTTTTTCCCCCATCGAGTAAAAAAAAGGCTTATAAACGCTGGGGGAAAAAAAAAAGGGGGGAGGGGAGGGGAGGGGTATAAACCCCCAAACCTCTGGCAGGATTCCTGCGTAAATAAAACTTTAAAGGCAGGATCGCCGGGGGCCAGCGCCAGTTTCCAGGGCAGAGCGAAATTAATTCCCACCCCTCCCCTCTCGAAACGAAGGACTCGGTGCCGGAGGAATGGAGAAGTCATGGCTATTTCACCAGTAACAGGATTAAACCATTTATGAGGCATTGCAGCTGCTCTTTTATGGCACCTGATTGATATTCATGTGTGGTTAGCGTTTGTCTCCTAACTTGTGTAACACAGAGAATAGTAAAGGAGAGACAATAATCGCCGGGCTGTTACATATTCAGGGCTGGATGTCCCCGCTCAGCCGACCAGCGCCGGGCTGACCTCCCCTCGTTCCGGCCCCGGAGCACACGCAGCCCAGCCGGGGAGAAATAACGCAGCGCTGCAAAAATCCTCCCTCGCCCCATCGCTCCCGGCCCAACCGGGCGGGAACCGGGGGGGGTTTCAGCACGATGTGATCCCGTTGGACCCTCCGGAGCCGCATCGGGAGCACAAAAGGCTCTTCTGAGCTCGGGAGGCCGGGGCGGCCGCTCGCCCCTGGGCTGCGGGGATGCTGCGGTGGGTTTGGAGGGGGGTTTGTCCCCCTCGGGAAGGCCGGGGGAGCTGCAGCAGACACGGGGGGGGTGCCCACGGGAACCAGCCAGGCCGG